TAAACCTTAGCATCCTTGTTTATAAAAAAAAGCATTTTATATATATATCAGAGACCGTCACAGGGCACTTTTTTTTGCCCTGCCCTGTCCTGTTGCCCTGTTTTACTTTGCCCTGTCCTGCCCTGGTTATAAGGCGCAAGAAAATTTTTTGCCCTGACCTGCCCTGCTCTGCCCTGAGGACAGGGCAGGGCGCCCTCAGGGCTTACAGACTGATCTTATATCTGGAAACATGATTGATAACTTAAGAGCTTCCTAGCATGGGGAAGTTTCAAGATTCCTCCTCTTTTCTGTACCAACACTTTATTTAAATTATTTCAAAACACTATTACAACCTGGCAATACAATATTCGAAAGAAAAAATATGTATCTATCAATAGGATTAATAGAAATACAATAAGAAAGCCTGGAATATCTGTATGGGACGTAAAAAAAACAAATGAAAATGTTTGACATAGAAAAGAAATTGTTTCAGGTACAAAAGTGAAAATGTTTTACGTAAAGTAAGTGTTACACGTAAAAAACAAAGAAGAAAAGCGTTTCACGTAGAAAAAGAAGAATAATTTTAGTGTAGGTACAAAATTTACCAGGGCAAAAAAAATTTGCCCTGTCCTGCCCTGTACTTTTCACTGATCGCCCTGCAGGGCAAGCAGGGCAGGGCAAAAAAAAAACTTTGCCCTGTAGGACAGGGCAGGGCAGGACAGGGCGTCAGGGCATCAGGGCAGCCCTGCCCTGATGACGGTCTCTGATATATATTGAGAGAAACATAATATGAAAACTAATTACTCTGATAAGTAAATCTAATTAAAGAGTTTTTTTTTCAGAAGACTTATGCATCAAACTTAATTGTAACGCCAACATGTTTAGGCATGACTGTCAATTTTTGCAAATGTCCACCAGCATTGACTTCAGGTCCACCATCTCCAAATGTTACATGTTGCATTAGCTTAGCAAGAATCACTTTCAATTCAAATCGAGCTAAATCTTGTCCAATACATTGACGATGTCCAGCACCAAATGGCAAAAATGCATATGGATGATGATTTTTATCTTCATCTAAAAATCGTTCGGGATAGAATAATTCCGGATCAACTTTCCAATATCGACTATCACGAGCAAGAATAGAAAATGGAATAATCACTTGGTCACCTTTGTATAATTGAACACCACTATTCGGTAAACGATCATCAACAGTTAATGTTCGAGCTGTTCCATCAGCAGGTGAAGAAAAACGAAGTACTTCTTTGATAACACAATCCAAATAAACAAGTGAATCGAGACGATCCACAGTTAGTATTTGATTAACATTGTCATTGATTAATTCAGCTTTAATCTTTTGTTGAACTTGTGGATGTTTACTTAATAAATGAATAGACCATGCCAAAGCAGTAGATGTTGTTTCAAAACCAGCCATTAAAAACATTAGCATTTCGTCCAATACTTCTTGTCGTGATAAACCTATCAATCATAAAGCAAAATCAATAGAGTTCTCATTCGTATACTAAAAAAAGGATATATCTTCTAAGGTAAAAATTAAGTCAAACATAACATAACACATCACAATAGATCAAAAAATGTTTGTTCTATTAATTAGACACCAGCTTTTTTTTTAATGTTTGAAAAGTAAAACTATTTATTGGAAATTATATCTTACCTTTTTTCTCTTCTTCACTTTTTTTTGCTTCAGCTATTTCATCAGTTTGTAATGAATCAACAAGTGAAGCAATTAAAGATGTTTTCTTTCGTTGAGCTCTTGATTCATCAGTTTCATTTAATTCTTGTTCTATCATTCGATGTAAATATCGTTCAGCGGTTGCGCGATCTCGTCGATATTGAGGACTTAATATTGCATACATTCTTAAGATAAAACTTGGTAAAAAAGCAGTTAGTTCAACCATATTGATAAAGTTTCTTAGAGTCTGTGTAAACTCGTTAGTATTGCTTCCATTTATCGTTTCCAAATCATAATCAAATGCAATTAATCCAAAAATTTGAAGTAAAAGATTTTGACATTGTTGTATAATATCACAATGTATGTGCTCATTTGAAAATGTACGCCAATTGTCCAATAATTTCTCAGTACAATCGATAATTAAATCGAAATTTGAAATAATTTTAGCTCGACGAAATAGGGGCATAGTGAGTGCAGCATGTCGTTTGTGTTTAGCTCCTAGATATTGTCAAATACGAGATTATTCAAATAAAATCTACAAAAAACCGACCTTTTAGAGTAATGAGACCATTTGGAAAAAGAGCGCCTACTAGTTCTACGGCCCAATCACCTTGATCATAAATATATCGATGATTAAAAATATGTTGAATATCGTCGATATTACCGATAATGAAAGCATGAACCAACCCAAATTGAAGTTGATAAATATCACCGAAACGATTTTTCAGCGATGTATATATTTGAGGAAGAGAATTTCCTTTGAATAATCCAGTTTGAAGTAAATTACCAAATAGAAATTGAGGTGGCAAACCGGGTACTGAACTGCGAAATGTAAAATATCTTAACTTTAAATAAATGATGAATGCAACGATAAATGCCAAAAATAGTATGAGCCACATTGTATGTAAATGGGTACGTATTGACCTTGATTTACTTTCTCTGAAAGAAAAGAAATGATATAATCATATATGGCCGCTCGTAATCTATATGTGTTGTGTTCTTTGCATCGCACAGTAGAAAAAACTATAAAAGAACAGTAATAACTTATCAAACATTTGTCGAGAGGATGGAAAGAATATATAGAATTGAAGCAAAATACAACCAGTCGTTTCTTCATACCATTTTTACCAAAATATGGAAGGAAAAAATCGACTTATTTTTTTCTGAAATGGAAATTTATTTGTTCTAATAATGAAGATTATTGGTCAGATGTTGGCGTGTTCGAAATGTTGTATTACGAAAAATTTTTTAAAAATCAGATATTAAAAATGAGTTGATTCTTTTTCTCGTCATAGAGAAGAGTTCCAACTTTTATTTATAAAAAAAAAAGTTTTAAATTCCAGTAGAAGAAAGTTTACTTTATATATACTTCGATTTTTTTCCTTTTCATTCATGGATCCTCATCGAATTTGTTGACTTATTCACGGTTATAAAAGATTTTCTGAATAATTTTTTATGCATAAAATTTCAGAAATCCCGAGAGTTTACACTTACTCCTTCATAAAAACACTGGATTTTTTCATTGAACCAATTCGTGGTTATTTTTTATTAATTATTCTTAAACGTTTCTTAATAAATAAGAACTTGAAATTCTCCTCGATTACAAGAAAAAAAATTAATACAGAATTATACCCAATGAAGATATTCGAATTTTTATTCAGACTTCTTACATAGCCACATTTGAGTGTTAATGGGATAGGTTCAACAACAGTTTAGATTGCTAAGAGTTGTCTAACTTTGAAAGCTTACAAAAGCTTCTCATCGTTTAGATTCGACTAAATCTTCAATTAACGAGATAGAAGACAGCCTCATCTCTAATTTCATGTAAAATATCAGTAATATTATTAATAGAAAACACATTCCCAGAGTTGATTTAGATATTTTCAAATGAGAATGCAATTAAACAAAGGAGTTGTCTAAAACTAAATATAAAATTGATTTTAGCTGGCCATCGACTCCTCATCTTTTTCCTTTTTTCTTTTAAACTCCTCTTTTTATCCTCTTTTTTAGAAATTTTCCTCTTTTTCATCAAAAAGTGAAGTGTACAGAGAAAAACTTAGCATAGATCAATTTTTCTAGCAATAGTAGGTTCATGTATGATAGTGAACACTGATTGTTTTTTTCTTGTTTTTCTTTTTCACACTGAGAAAACACTATCCCTATAAAAATACTATATACAACTATCTTAGATAGAAAAAGAACTAAAAAGGAACTAAGTTGCCACAAGATAGGCAACCGCAGTTAAAGATGATGAAAATTAATTGATTGAACTTCAATCGACTTTTACAACACCCAATGTGGGTAGTAGAGATAATAATAACTTTGATAGACTGTTTGACATCCCTAATTCAATTACAATATAATGTAACATAACAGGTGTTGCAAAAGTTCCTGGAAAAATGCCAGACTGTTGTGCAGGGTGTTACATAACCTTCTTCTCCCCCTCTATCAACTTCAATTGTAAATGATATTACAAAGTATTATATACCAAATTAAAGCGCGTCAAAAACTGCATTCATTGGTACTAAATAATAAAGGTTATGAACACCTTTTAATAAGACATTCTGAGAAATTTTATACTTTTTTGGCGTAAAAATTTAAGATGCTAGTAATTCAAAAATGGAGTAAACTTTTTTTCTTGGATATTTTTACATGATTCGATAGAGCTCGTCAAGCTCTACAAAACTGTATACTTCGAAAAAATTTTGAGCCATTTTTTGAGACAAAAAATTCAAAAAACTACTTGGAAAATCTCAAAAATGTCAAAAAAAACTCATTTTTTATCATATGGAAAAAACACTCGATTTTTCAACAATATTAGCTTTTTTCATTACTTATGCTACCTCAGATATTTTGAAATGTGCTCATTCGATGCTGTGTGAAAAACTGTATCGAAGAAATAGGTTTCGAAATGTCTGAGGTAGCATAAGTAATGAAAAAAGCTAATATTGTTGAAAAATCGAGTGTTTTTTTCATATGATAAAAAATGAGTTTTTTTTGACATTTTTGAGATTTTCCAAGTAGTTTTTTGAATTTTTTGTCCCAAAAAATGGCTCAAAATTTTTTCGAAGTATACAGTTTTGTAGAGCTTAACGAGCTCTATCGAATCATGAAAAATATCCAAGAAAAAAATTTACTCCATTTTTGGATTACTAGCATCTTAAATTTTTACGCCAAAAAAGTATAAAATTTCTCAGAATGTCTTATTAAAAGGTGTTCATAACCTTTATTATTTAGTACCAATGAATGCAGTTTTTGACGCGCTTTAATTTGGTATATAATACTTTGTAATATCATTTACAATTGAAGTTGATAGAGGGGGAGAAAAAGGTTATGTAACACCCTGTATATGTGGATCAACAGGACCCCATAAATCAGGATCAAAATGTAAACCATACATATCAACAGCAACACATGTACCTACTGGAATCGTACCAATATTTTTTATATTAAGCTCTTCTGTACTTTGACGATTGATTACTACTGGTGCAATCGGATACATGCGAAGTGTTTCTCGAATAAACATATCTAGATACTCGATTTGAGATATAGCATCGTACGATAGTATATCATCTTCATCAGTCTCAGGATTAAAGTAAGCATCGATATTTTCTTGTAATTTTACTTGTTCATTGGGATGAGTAGCAAGAATATAAGAAATATAACTGAGTGCTGTACTCGTCGTTTCATAACCAGCAACCACTAATTACTCAGAAACAATTAAAAACAAATTATCACTACTTTAACGTTAGATCTCAATCAATAGAAGAATATTAGCTGCAATCTCATGTTTCGTTAGTTTTCGAATAATTGATACTTCATCACCATCATCTTTTTGTTCTTTTTTCATAGTTGACGGTTGATCATCCTAGAGAACAGCAAACGATTTCTTTATTTTTAGTTTTTTCTTTCTCTATGGAAAAAAAATATTGTGTCATACTTGAATAAAATCCTCGTTTGATACTGATTCAAGCATTAATTTGATTACATCTGCTCGATTTGTTAGATTATTTTGTTGATGTTCATCGATAATTTTGTATGCTTCTCGTATGATCCATGTGTATGGTTCTTCTTGAATATAATTATTTGTGAATGGAAAAATACGTCTAAGCCAATAACGTATGAAACTGTTAATATGTCGCAATTTTATCCAAACATAATTTAATTCTTTGATAAATAGAGATAAAAGTACTAAGACTTTAGCAGAATTTTGTTCTTCGAAATAACATTGTGAAAAAATCAAAGATGGATCATTGATATTATTTTGCATATCTGTATCAATTCCAAAAACACATGACCATAAAGTATCCATAGCAAATCGTTTAAAATATGGATAGATATCAAATGATTGACCTTTATTATATTCTTCTATAATTTTTTTCATAAACATATTAATACATCGATGAATCATTGGTGACATTTGTTTGAGTTTAGTCGATGAAAATATTGGATTGATAATAAGTCTTTGGCGTTTCCAACGAAGACCAATAGCATAAAACAAATGTACTTGTTTACTATGTTGTTCATCGAGTGGGAAAGCACGATGAGAATGAAAATTTGAAAATGATTTAATAAATATATCTTGTATTACATCTGGATCGGATACAACTAAAATTGGTGTATGTCCTTCGAAATAACCAAATATACGACCATATTTTTCTGTATATTGTTTAATGGAAATTGATGTTCGTTTGTTTCTAACAAGATCGAAAAAATTACCAAAGAAAAATATTGGTGATGAACCAGGAATATTTAATCGTTTGAAAAACTCATAGGTCTTTCGAGTATGTAAAAAATAAGTAACAACAATAGCCAAGAGAACAGCAATCAAGATGCTCGTTAGTAACAACATATCTACCTCAATGTCAACTAATAATGCATAGACAAAACATTCTTGTATCCTATATTTAGTAATTATACCGTTCTTATCTGACGATTTATACAATATTGCGTTTATTTCTATAATATACATACGCAAAACATTATTTTTATTACTAGTCGCAATAAGTTACTTTTAGTGAAATAATTTATAAAACAAAAACCCTAATAAAATAATATTAAAATTCGAGTTCAATCCAAGCCCTGAAATTATTGAAACAAACATATTATCAGTACTATTATTTGTTTTTGTATTTTGATCAAATTAAATTTGATCATGATCAGTTTTTTTTTGTTTACTGTCAATGTATAAATTCTTTCCTTTTAGTAAATGTTAGATTATTGTTTTCAAGAGACTTCTTATTAAATAGTTTGATATATAAAATGTGATAAATGTTGTATTTGTTTTTTTTGTTTATTTCTTTAAACTTTAAAACGAATCGATTTCTATTATTTTTGTTAGACAGCATTCTAACAAACTTTCATTTTAGTTTGTTTATCGTTCTTTTTCGTTTTTCTTCTGTATGTGTAAGCGTCTTTCTTTCCTATTATACATATACATATCGCACGTGTCTCTGTACTACCGTCGATAAACTACAATACTCATAAAAGTCGGTGGTGTCATTTACGATTTTCAATTTCTGCTATAAACTATTAAAGAGCATGTTTTCTAGATAAATTCGACCTATAACTATAAAGAATTCAAATTAATTGAGAAGAAAACACTTTAAGAATGTATATTAGTTCAAGCAGCTCAGACGCATCAACACATGCAGTGTACAATGACAATGATTTAATTCTTCCAGTTTCAATAGACGTCATAGATATTGATTCGTTTTGATAAAATACACTATGATACAACACTTTCCAAAGCACTTCTCTTATGTTTACTGTTCATGAGAATTTATTCAAGTTCTTCTTGTATTTTTCTCCAGATTTATGTAGGTACAGTTGTGAGTAAGAGAAAAATTATTTGCATTACCTATATTATTTAAGATATTGGAATAAATAAAAATTTGTTAATGATGTATCAAGAATAATTCGTCATAAAAATCGTTCATATTACTGAACACGCTCTTGGAGTAGCTGATTCATATAAATAACTATGAACTGAGTCAAAAATATCTTTCTTAGCATCATCACTATGAATATGAAGCAAGATAGTTTGGGTCAGTCTGAAACCCGTACTTTTTCATTGGGAACGAAATATTCAGTAACTCATCATGCTTATATCCGCATCAATAACATCATCATTTTTTGTTCCATCTAATGAACTAGGTGTAGCTATGAGTTTGAGTACAGATAGAACTGAAGCCTTCACCGACAGATCCTTATTCAACACAGCGACATCTTGGTGTTTTTGTAAATAATTCACATAAAAATCGATTATAGGCAGTATAGATATTGCATATACGACTGGTTATACGATAGCACTAGATGGAAAACGTAACAAAAAATCAATATATAGAATAGTCAAATATATGATTTAGAGCAGATGGTATGAGAATAGGCGCAAAGTATGAAGAAAAATCAGTAAACTATGTTATCGTAAGAAAGTGTAATTTGAATGTTATATAATCATCTACTTTCGATAGGTATCGACATTCTTTTGAAATATGAAATAAGAAATATCTTAATAATACAGTACTTTTTGTCTATTCTTTCAAATTGATATTCAAATAGGTTGATTATGAAGAGATTTTTTATAGAATATAATATATAGCATTGATTGACTTTTTCAACAGGTTATAACGAGAGTTCATGTTTTAATTGTGCGATATCTTGTAATTATATTCATCAAATTGGTTAACACAGATGTGTGGGAAAAGCTTTACTGTACTCTGTTTTTTTTCGTTTTTCTCCAGTTTGACAAATGCCTGACTGATTGACGTATGGACAAAACTTGAACGAAATCATAATTTTTATTGA